ACGTGGGTAAAGGAAGAAGAAAACTTGGTGTGAGACCTGAACTGTCAGGAACAAGTTTGAGAGACCCCATGATCTCTTGGCCCTGACCTCCTTGCCTAAGATCTGTGCCCAAAGGTGTTTAAGAGTGGCCAGACGGCAGGGCTGGGCAGAACAAATGCCAGCCTGCTGGGGAAGGGCTCTGCCACCTGCTGAGAGTCTATCACAGAAACGTTTGTAAAAAGAACATGAATATAAATTTGCATCTAGTTCAAAAACAAACTTGCTGTGGATTTACATAAAATTAAAATGATTAGAAGATGCCCTCGAGAAGGTTCTTGCCCAAAGCTTGCAGTGGGTATGTGACCTGCCTGCTGTGGCAAGGCTGAGCTGTGACCTTGTCCACCTTCAGGGGGTAAGGATGTTTCCCAGGGAGAGGAAAGTCCTTGGTTCATTTCATCCAGTCAAATAGGAACAGGCATTGTGGTTCAGTGGTAGGACTGGTGCCAGTTCTGTATGGGTTTAAGCTGTGTTGGAAGGCTGCTCTGACTCAAGGTCTCCCTTCACTGGAGAGAAGCCTGTCTGATAGTGAAGAGTGAAAAATAAGATGGTTCTGACTTTAGCAGGTTTGCTTCATTTCTTTTCCTGATGTGTCACACTTGACTTGATATCTGATATAGCATTCTTCTCAAACATCTGTCCACTTTAAACTTTATTTTAAAGATCTTTCTGGCCACGTAGGCTTTGTACACAGACTGAGCAACAGCCTTTTTGACTTAGTATGAAACTGTAGCATTTTATGTTTCTAAAATCAATAGGTTCATCACCCTAGTTTTAAAAAAATCTATACACAGAAAAAGTAATTGCTGAGGACTGCTGTTTATCTTTAAGATTATAAAGCTAAATTATAGTTTTTTGCTGGAGAAACCAAAATCCCACTATCTCATTAGAAAAGGCTACCCAGAATGCTCTCAGAGCTGTTAATGGCTTGTTACTAACTTTTAGAGTTTTATTTTATTTTATTTTTTAAATATACTGAATCCTATATAAGGATTTTTGGTCAACAAAAGTGATTTTGAGCCCTTTTAGGTATTGTTCTTGTTTTACCTAGAATAGTAGAAATTACTATTAACTTAACTGCAAGTGATATAAAATTGACTATTCTAAAAATAAATAAATAAATAAAATGGAATATCTTTAGTAGGTAGAAAATTGTGATTTTCTTATTCATCTTATTCCTTCTGCTGGAAGGGTGAGGGCCTCCCTCCAGGAACCCAACAGGCCTTATCTTGTTAGAGACTTTTGTGAATACATGGTTACAGGTTAGATCTACATTTATAATTTTTTCTAGTTGCTATAGAAAATCTGTACTTGCTGGGCTTTTTGCATATAATTCTTTGCCAATATTTTGAGTATGCTAACTAGATGTATTGTGTTATTAAGAAATGATTGAGGTGGGGAGCAGGTGTCTTGGCCAAGCTGGAGGAAGTAGGGGTGGGGGAAATAGGCTGTTTTGTCATCCTTTTCAAGTCCTCCATGGACCGTGCACAGCCTGTTACTTGCAGCTGGCCAGACTAGGTCCCTCTCAAGAGCACTCCCCATGGATGTCCAGTGCTCAGGGCACAGTTGAGACAAAGCTGGGTTGATAGGACATTTTAAAGACTCATTTTACCTCTGACAAGGGCATGGTCTGACTTTGCAGCCACAGCCACCACTTGGCCACCTTCTTGGGGCTGTGGAATGACACAGAAGCCCATATAGGTTAGAAGACAATTGTAAAGCACAATGACATTCTGTGAACTGGAGAGTTTTCATGTTCTCAATGACTCACACTTTGCCCTAACCCTAGAATTGAGGGTACCTAGGAGGATTCTAGTCTATGTAATCTAGAAGGGTCATTTTAATAAAAAAAATTATGAATTATAGTATTTTAGATGATGATTGACTTATTTTAAAATTATTTTAACTCCACTATGATATTTCACTGTGATGTTGACTTGGAAGACCTATTTGAGATTAGTTTTTAAAGTTCATTTTAAACTCATTAAAGCTGCTGAGCACAGGGTTATTATTACTTGTAAATCCAAAACACTGTGTGGAAGTAGTACTTCTAGTTATCAGTTTCTTCCTTTACAAAAGCCTAACTTAAACATGAAAATAATGTTGGTTTATAGAAATATTTGTTGTTCAAGGTCTGTAATTGTATTTTTAAAATGATGTAGCGTTCAAGTTGTGAAGGGATTTATTTTGTGAAAAACAAAAACAATTTGTATGACACCACTCTGAAGAGTAGGGACCTGCTTTGCAGTCATGGCTGTGGCACTTGACTGCAATTCATATAAGTCCCCCTGAACAGCCACGTGGCTTCTAGCAGTTGGTTGGAATGTGTGCCCTAGGCTGCATTATTAAACTGGGTAACATCATGCTGAAAAGTCCCTGTAATACCAAGGAAACTGCTTTCCCTGCCCTGAAGGAATGTATTTCTAAGGCAACTAGGCAACTCGGTCTATCTCATACTGAGTAGAGAGTGGAGAAAGTATTTTCAGACTCAAGAAAACTTTCAAAAGTCAGGAACTAAGCTGCTCGGAAATCGATGCCACAAACGTGGCCGTGGTGGACGTGGGAAGCGACGGGAAAATCTTGACAGTCTCTGTCCATTCAGTTGCTGCACTTTTCTTTCCAATGCACCCTGTTGGATATGGAATAGATCATAGATGTCCAGACTGAGATCTGGGACTGTGTTGGGACCGCACAGGTGGAACGTGCCACGTCCACACATGGCATCTCCAAGTGAGTCATGTCCCCGGGGCGTGGAGGTGGCGCCTGCCGCTGGAGTGAGGTCCTTGCGCACTGCCTTGTGCTTTCTTGCGTGAGGGCTCTGCTGACTGCAGAGTTGATCCTCCCGACTGTGGCTAGTTTCTGTGCAGTTGCTGGGAAGGGGTGTGTGGGTGAACGTCGGGCCTTCTGCAATCTGTGTCATGAACTGTAATGTTGTAAGGTCTGTATTCTGTATGTGGGTCTCAGACCCCAATCAGGAAACGAGCCTCATGTGTGTCGTTAACATTTATATTTCCATTCAAATATGTATTTCAGTGTTTATTTCCTCAAACAGACTTTGTTAATTTAGTAAATATCTCCAAGTGGAAACGTGCTAACTTTTTCTGTAAATCTTAAATAAAAGGTGCTGTTCCTTCCTCTGATCCAGGACTGGTTTGTGTTTTCTGTCTTCCTCTCCATGCATTTTTTTCCCTCTTTTTTAGCTTTTCAGTTTGTTCCAACCACATGAAGGGAAGAACGTGGGTTCGTGGTAGTGCACGGGCTGTCTTTCCTTGAGCCCAAGTGGCCCCTTCCCACACCCCATGGTTCCTTCATAAGACACAAGGGTCAGCCTCAGGTGGCCATGTGGGCAGCTCTGAGTGGGGGCCCTAACCAGACAGGGAGGCTGCTGCTTCCCATTGCCCCAGGGCCCCCCAGTGCCACCTCAGAAGTGCTTGCCCCCTCCTGTGACCCTGTATGTGCTGGACATATTAGATTTGGGGTTTGAACTAAGATATTTCAAATGGCCTTTGTGGATATTAACGTCACAGCGCAGGAAGTGAGCTGGCTTCGAGGAAGGGCTGCGGCCTCGAAGTGGCAGAGCCTCGCCGTGGGGCCCTGGGCTGATTTAGTGTCGGGCATGCTGCTATTTCCATCTTCCTGACCAGGTGAGGAAATCCAGTTTAAAAGGCCACTTTCTTTAGGCTGTGCTGGTATCAGACGTGTCTAGTGAAGCTGGAAGAACAGCCCATTTGCCAGTCAGATCTAGGAGCCCAAGGAAGAAGTCGGCTGTCTTTACACTAATTTTAAGTCAACAAAACCTCCTGTGTTTATTTTCAATTTTTTTTCTTCCATTGCATCCTATAATTTCTATGAACCAAATCTGGGAAAAGCTCACTGATAAGGCTACAGAATTGGTCAGAATCCCTGGAAGGTTCATTCTTGTTTTTTAATGCAGAACCTATTGCAACTTTTAGCTTTATGTTCGTTGGCAAATAAGCCTGTAATAGAATTACTTGTTGTGAATATTGAGGTGACAGGAATAGAATTGATACTTTGGATCTGTTTCATCTCTAAAATTCAATTTTGACATTTACCTAACATCAAATAAAAACCAATTTTTTTTAACACCTGAATTTGACAGACAAGAGGGTTTTCTATTTTAACCATTTGAACATTTATTGATGCTGATTGTCCGGGGGAGGGTGCGATGGTGTGTGCAGTGAGGGTGAGGCTCAGGCCTGGTCTTAAATCATCTGTGTTAAATGGAGGAGAGATGGGTGCTGCACAGCCTGAAAATCATCCCATTTATTCAGAGATGCTACATCTTTCTCCCAGGCCTTTTACTTACACTGAAATGTTAGCAAAGTAGGCCATATGTTTTCTTCCTTTTTCCCGCCTAACTGCTCTGTTGGGCAGGAATGAATGAACTAAGGAAGTATCAGGGAGATGCGGCAGTGGAGGAAGAAGAGTGAAGACCTGGCCTCTGGGTCGGCATCTGGAAGGGCCCGTGGTTTCCACCTAGGCAGCAGGGGGATAGCACAGTCACCTGATGAGACTTTATGTTTGACACTTCATCTTGGTTTCTTTAAAAATTCATTTGGTATTAACATGTTTTTCTTACCTAAAAATAGTAGGACCTGAACAGTTGGGTTAAGAAAAGATCAAGACTCTTGATCCCAAAGGCGGTCTTAGTTCACTTCCTAGAACAAATTGGATTCTCATAAGTTACTTTTTAAAGGAATATGCCTAATATATACATATGTTTACTAAATGTTGAGTAGGGTAAAGTTTATTTTTGAATTTTCTACACAGATTAATCAACAAGTTGTATTGTCACAAAAAGAAGTTGATGCTGGGGTCACTGGCAATGACAGGTGCTGAGAGAAACTCTAGGAGATGAGGCTGGGCAGGGCGAGGTCTCTAGAAGGGCGACCACCCACTGTCTCTGCGACTAGTGAACTGTCGTCCACCTCCTTCACCTCCAGGTCTCGGACAGCCCAGGAGATGAGCCTTCGGAGTCCCCATATGAAAGTGCAGATGAAACACAGACTGAAGTGTCCATCTCGTCTAAAAAGTCCGAGCGAGGAATGACTGCCAAAAAGGAGTACGTGTGTCAGGTGAGGGGAAGGCAGTGTCTGCCCTGTTTGTGTTGGCACCTGCCGAGGGCTGTGGGTGTGGCAGAGCCAGGCTGTGTGTCTGCTGTCCTCCCTCCCAGCCCTTCCCAGCCCTACCCTCTCTTACAGCTCTGTTCAGAAGGGGCTAGACTGCCAGCAGAGTCCCAGGACTAGGTTGCCTCAGCTAGCATCCTGTTCACATGCAAGATGTATGCTTTGTACATATGTCATAGAACACACACGTAAAAGTCATGCTAGCAGAGGAGAGGTGGCAGGCTGATTGATGTTCAGATGTTACTGCTGATATCCCCGGGTAGGCCAGGTCATGGCTAAGGTGGCTATCACCTGTGCAGACCTGTGCCTGGGGCAGCATCCTGCCTCTGCTGCCCCGCCTTGTGTGGGCACAGTGCCTTGGGCTAGGTCATCTCAGCTCTCTGCTTCAGCCCCTCCTACATCTAGAAGGTACGGATAAATCAGACCTCCTCTGCAGGGCTGGTGATGCGTGAGGAGTGCCAGCCCAGCACCTCTGCAGCCGGCTCCATGCCTATCACCTGTGCTGCAATGACTTTGATTTCTTACAGAAATGTGCTGTGGGTTTAATTCTTGGGCTTAAACGATTCTCTTGCCTCAGCCTCCTAAGTAGCTGGGACTACAGGTGCCTGCCACAATGCCTGGCTATTTTGTTGTTGTTGTTGTTTAGCTGGCCTGGGCTGGGTTCAAACCTGCCACTCTTGGTGTATGTGGCTGGCATGTGACCACTGTGCTATAGGCACTGAACTGACCTTTGGGGTTTGATCCTGTTGTTTTCCTTTGCCATTGCTGAAGGACTCCTGTCAGTAACATGTCATCTGGTTTTGATTTGACACTGTATTTATCATGGGTTTTGCTTAAGTCAGGCATTTCACTAGACACCTGTGGTTATATTTCTCTGAGTAGCAGAATGGGAGTTTTCTGCCACTAGAGACAGAATCAACTGTCCCCTTGTAGTAAGAAGAGTGCAGAAGGGATGGTGCTGGGAGCTCATATCACCTTTTGCCCCCACAGCTGTGTGAGAAGACAGGCAGCCTCCTACTGTGCGAAGGCCCCTGCTGTGGCGCTTTCCACCTCTCCTGCCTTGGGCTTTCCCGGAGACCAGAGGGGAGGTTCACCTGCAGCGAGTGCACCTCAGGCAAGTTTGGAAGCCTCCAGGGTGTCCCCGGTGTGGCAGTGTTGCTGCTCACCACCACCCCTGCTCTCTCTTCACACATCTCTCCTTAGACACCAGTGGAGAACAGGCTTCCTCCCTCCTGCCTCCCAGAGGTCCCATGAGCTCTATGGTTTGGGCCGTGCTTGCATGTGCCCTGGTGCGTCTATGTCAGGTGTGGGCGTTTCTGCTTCTGTGAGACCTCTGGCTGAGTGATAGGATAGCAGTTGTGGGCTTCACCACGCCCTTCCCATTGGTCGACCTAAGCCTTATTTTATCTATGAGGCAGCCATTGTGGGTCACGCCTAGTGCAGGTGATCATGGGTCACAGAATGTTAGAGTTCATAGGAGCATGGGGTTCGGCTCGAAGGCACAGCGTCTATTTGAGCTTCCTTCCATTCAGCAGAAGAGCAGTTGCAAGCTCTCCCTGGGCAGCCAGAGCTTTAGTTCTACTGGCACGTTGCCACATCAGGTTTCACTGCAGTCAAGGGTGTGGTGGGTAGATGGGCTGCACGGCCACTGCCCTTCCTGTCTACTTTGCAGTCCTGAGGGCTTTCCTGGCTCTTGTCAGAAAACATCTTGGGTCAAGGAGATGCCGCGAGAGTTCTGAGCCAAGGCAGCTTGGCAGCAGCTCCTCCCCTCTGAGGGTATCTGCCAGTGATCATGAAGGGCCATGAGCTGGCTGGCTGCTCCTGAAGGGGATGAGCCTTTCTTCAGAGGCACCTTCCCATGAGCTCTTCCCATTAGTGAGCCTTCCAGCTAGACTGCCAAGTATAGCTTCCCTGTGTTTGAGGTGAAGCTAGAGCTTAGATCATACCAAGGTAACTCTTGATGGCTGGACTTTTTTCCTAAAGAATGCTTGGAGTAGTCAGCTAGGTTGGAAACAGCCAGATGCTTTAGCAACAGAGGCTGCCTCCACAGAAGAGTTGCTGGATTTAGTGGCTTAAAACTGTAATTTAATTCTTATTGTTTGCTCTTCTCTCTCCACCACTTTCTTTAACATTTGTTAGGGATTCACTCGTGTTTTGTGTGTAAGGAGAGCAAGACAGACGTTAAGCGCTGTGTTGTGACTCAGTGTGGGAAGTTTTACCACGAGACCTGTGTAAGGAAATTCCCTCTGACTGTGTTTGAGAGCCGAGGCTTCCGCTGCCCCCTGCACAGCTGTGTGAGCTGCCATGCTTCAAACCCTGCAAACCCAAGGCCGTCAAAAGGTAGAGCTATGCCTGCACAGGCCCACAGGTGTAGTGGCAGTGGGCATGGTGTGGCAGTTTTGGGGGTTTGTCTCAGAGATCATCAATCCTTGTTCCTGACTTGGTGCCGGTTGGGTTAGGGTTTCCATTGGCAAAGGACCCCCCCCCCCGCATTTGCTTCCTCTCCCTCCTGATATCATTTTTAATTTTAGGAATGAGGCAACCTTTAACATTTTGATAGACTGCTACGTTTTTGTTTTTTTTTTTTTTTTGAGAGGGCCCCTAACCCCCCCCCCCCCCGCCCCCCGGGCCCCAGGCGCCCCCCCCCCCCCCCCCCCCC